AAAAACTAACGGTGAACTCGATCTTGGTATTTTTGCTTGAACTCCTGTTTGTTAGATCCCCTAGAACAAATTCTTTTTTTTAAAATAGCGCCATGCAATGCTCTACAAAATCATATCTAAGCTTTAATTTCAGAACTTCAGTCAAGAAAACTAAGCAAATTATACGCGAGGCGGAAAAGTGAAAACTTTGTAAATTCAGTATTTTTTTCGACTCGAACTTTTTCTTCTCCTGTTATTTCCGTAAAAAAGCTTAGCAATAGTGAGAAACCAGTTTACGTTTGCTACTTTCGAATGCACTCTTTCTCGTGGTCTGTAAAAAATTTCTCTCAGAGTAGATGGTGTACTCGAGAATGAAGTTTTAAAAATTGAAAACCTCTGTTTCCGACAATGTGTCCAACCAAGGAATAGAAAACGTGATTGAAGTTTGATTTTGCACTTTGGTAGAGAAGAGCAATCATTTCTGATCAAAACAGAATAAACTCGATCTAAAAATCTTTTGTTTTGATGGAGTTACGAGACTTTCACTGAAAGCACCATCATACGAAGAGAGTTCATGGTTAAATTTTCTTTTTTGTGAAGCACATTTCTAAAGTCTATAACTTTCTTACTATATGAGCTAGCGGGGTCAATCAAAAGCCATTTTGTAGAGCGTGTTTTACTGCGTCTTTTCATCATAGAAAGAAATTTACAAACATGTGTTTTACTTTAGAAAAATTATTATACAAATCAAGTCAGGACTTATGGGCCACCCTGTACATTTACTAAAATATTCATATGCAAAACCATAATACTCTTCAGCTACTTTAACTTCTTCCTATTTATAATAAAGTAAGCCAATATTCATATATATTGCACTTCTATCATCGTGATTTAGTGGAAGTTCTTCCAATAGTACATGATAATATCTGTCGGCTTTTTCATATTCATCTATTTCACTTAAAAAATTTCCTAATGTATTTATTGTTGTTTTATCTTCAAATTTTTCCTTCAAATATTGTTTTATACCTATACAACATTCATTATTCTCTTCATTAATTAAATCTAATTCTACAAGCCACATGTCACTTTTTTCATCTTCTTTAATAGACTTAACAAACCACAACGTGCCAGTTGAAAATAAAACTTCATTTTTATCTTATACTTTCGTTACAGTATCTAGGCAAGCATATGGTTTGGTTGTTTGATTCTTATCATTAGCTATATTTAATAGAAATAGAATACGTTCATAATTTGAATTTGTCGATGCACTACCATCTTTATGATTAAACATATCAGCAACATTTGGATTAACACTTGCTGATACAAATCCATTCAGACATATAATCCCTTGTCCTTTCATACTCTCCTTTAAAATTCGAAATGTATTTGCTGTCAATAGTTTGCCTCGATGCAAAGCCGAAGATATTGATTGTGTAGGTTTTTTTATGTAGTTTGTCAAGTTGCTTATATATCTCTTGAATTAGAAAACGAAATGGAAATAAACAATCGACATCTTATGTCCTAAATGCTTTATTTGTTAATTTATGACAAAATTTCATTTGGGGATCTGTGTACCATTCAAGAGGCCTTTTTGTTTCATAGTTTGATTCAAATACTGAAATATATTTCTTTTGTGTTTCATTATCACTATAATAATTATGATATACTTTTATGATATCACTTTTTGCTTTTTCGTTCAATGATAACCGAAGTATTATTTCAATAAGCAATTGAAATTGAATAAATTCAATAGTTTCTTTATCTAAATTTCTTATTGGACTTGATATTTCACTTTGTTTAAAATATGTAAATGATGTTGATGATGCTGATGATAGTGATATCTCTTCTGACAGTTCGTTTTGCCTCGTATTTGCATCAAATATAAATTGTCTTAATTCTTTAATAAGTAAATTCTGATTTAAAAAAATTTTATTTTTTGTTTTTTTTATGATTTTTGTCAATCCATTGTTGTTCTTATGAATTTCGACAATAAACGTACATCTGATGAATAATAGACTCATTATGAATTGATGGTATGAAACGCTCATCTAAATGTGAAACAATACATACGAAATATAATAATTTCTTAGGATTCTGAGTGAAATGATTTATAGCATCACATGGCTCATCGACTTTGGCTAAATTTGTAAAAATTCGTTTCAATTTTAAACAAAATTCATCATCAATTTTAAAAAATGTATTAAGCCCAATAACACCGAAGTCTTGATCAAACTTATAATTTTCAAGCAAAGTAGTAATATTTTGACCTGTCGTACGTTTTTCAGTACTAAAAGAAATGAAAAATCCGCTGTA